AGAAGGCTTTCAGGAACGATGCAATGAGTGCAGTGAAAATAAAAGTGTACAACAAACACTTCAAAGATGGTTGAGAACAGGGGAGGACTGACAACTCATGGGGCCCCCGGGCAATAGGGAATCATGAGGCACCTGTGTCCTTGCCCAAACTCAAAAAAGCCTATGAAAAAGGTACCAGGGGCATCTCTTGGGGCCCCCTACTGACCCCGGGCCCTTGTGCAGTGCCCGAGTTTCCAAATGGTCAGTCCGCCCCTGGTTGAGAATCTGTTGAAATCTGTTGAAAGTGATGAATGTTTCTTGAATCTTCTTCAGTAAATGTTTCCTTCAGCTTTAAGAATTTATATTGATCTCTTCAATGGCATTATTGAGTTGTGGAAATTTCTTCAATAAACATGTCATTGGATATCCCTGTTCAAGTCATTACATTCCAAAGGGATTGGAACAATTGAGTACTGTCCGTGATCCTTTTTTTATTTGCACTAGTACTGCTTGGACCAGGGGTGGACTGACAACTCATGGGGCCCCCGGGCTATAGGGGATTATGGGGCCTCTGTGTCCTTGCCCAAACTCAAAAAAAGCCTATGAAAAAGGTACCAGGGGCATCTCATGGGGCCCCCTGCTGACCCCGGGCCCTCGAGCAGTGCCCGAGTTTCCAAATGGTCAGTCCGCCCCTGGCTTGGACCTTGAAGAAGGGGACATACCCTGAAAGCTTATCCTGAAAATTTTATGTGCAAACAAAAAAAGGATCACAAGCATCACTCAATTGTTTCTGTCGCAAGTGCACTAGTATGGCTTCAGTCACCTAAAGGAAAGGATTAGGACATTTAAACCATTTAAATTGGGACATTTGGGCAAAGTTTTACGGGAACTCACTGGTATAAGTCCATAAAGTCCAACCAGTTAAAAGGATACATTAAATAATCAGTATTCCCAAATTACTACAAATTATATATAAACCAAACTTGTGTAAAAATCTAATAATTCAAAAAAGTCACACTTTCACCCTTGAAAGTGAATAATAATATTATAAACCTTTTTTGTGTTAGTCAATGCATATAAAATAATAAATAATGTCCAAAAATAAATCAGTCCTCTGTGTCCAACTTCAATGTTCCCATAAATCCAGATCAGGTGAGTACCTAAAAAAATAAAATAAAACTAAAATAGTGTTTTACCTCAATAACATCGGTATATACTTTACCAACCAATAAGTATATACTTATAATAAATACATGCAAAACAAACCAAGATTCAAAAACGGGAGTAACACGTGAATTGTGAGATCCCTCTGTGTACACTATAAAATAAATAATAAATAAATGTGGCAAACAGTGTACACTCATAAACCAAAAATAAACCAAAAAAAAAAAAAATATATATATATATATATATATATATATATATATATATATATATACCAAAAATAAAATAAATAAATAACTGAACTAAATGAAAATAAAAAAATAAAATAAAAAATATACACAAGAAAAAATAAATAAAGTATATTAACCACTTGTGCTCCTGAGGATTTACCCCCCTTAATGACCACGCCTTTTTTTGCTGTTTGGCGCTGCACTAATTCAAATGATAATTGCGCGGTCATGCAATGCTGTACCCAAACTAAATTTACGTCCTTTTTTTCACACAAATAGAGCTTTCTTTTGGTGGTATTTTATCACCTGTGCGCTTTTTATTTTTTGCGCTATAAACAAAAAAAACACGAAAATTTTGAAAAAAAAACAATATTTTCTACTTTCAGCTATAAAAAATATATTGTAAACTCAAAGTTAGTCATAAATTTAAGCAAAAATGTATTCTGCTCCATGTTTTTGGTAAAAAAAAAAATCCCAATAAGTGTATATTGATTGCTTTGTGTGAAAGTTATAGCGTCTACAAACTATGGTATAGATACTGTAATTTATGCCTTTTTTTACTATACAGCGCTGCACTAATTCAAATGATAATTGCGCGGTCATGCAATGCTGCACCCAAACTAAATTTACGTCCTCGATCGATCAAGGGGTTAAATGGGATTACTGGTGTACTGGCGGACAAACTGGCGCTATCTGGGAGGGGCGCTAACACTATCGGAAGTTGCCAGCGACACTGATACAGTGATCAGTAAAAATCGGTTCACTGATCAGTGACACTGGTGACAGGGCAGTGAAGGGGTTAACTGGGGGGGAGGGGCGATCAGGGGATTAAATGTGTCCTAGAGTGTTCTAACTGTGGGTATGTGCTGTTTTACTCACAATTTGTATGTCTTCTTCTCTGTCTGGAACGGAATGTGTCCAGGCAGAGAAGAATGACATCATATCCTGTCCTGTGCAACTGTCAACACAGGACAGGATAGGACAGGGACCGATCATCTGATTTCAGCCAGACATCACTGGCTGAAATCGAATGATCGATCCCTCCGGGATCAAATGGTGTCACCCACAGGTTGGGAGCGCGGAGCCCGATTTAAAACGTGCTTTTGCGCCCCAGTGCCGCCCTGCACACGTATATATGCAGTGGCAGGGCGGCAAGTGGTTAAAGGTGAACACTTCTATAAGGCAAAAATGCCGCTCTCAAGAGTAATTTCAAGTCTTAACAGAGAACACTCAGGTGTTGTAGTTACTTCTCAGACTCCTACTCCAGAATGCTGTGTATGGGGTTCCAATCCTTAAGGGAAGCCCTTATCACTCCATCATCCTCATGCAATAAGAGAGAAAAGCCCATGTAGCACAATATAGTGGATAAATAAACATTTAATATACATGCTTACATTAGGGATAGTAAAAACCGTCAATCAGTTCCCATGAGTCAGCCTGAGCAGCTTCCAGGAACGTTATACACGATTTTCCAATAGTCAAAATGGCTGCTCCTCCACTTCCGGTTTTTGGAATTACGTCAGATGTCATGTCCACTGATGCGTTTCGTCACTTCCGGACTTCTTCCGGATTTCTGAAGATTACCATATAATTGCCTGCCAAGAGGAATGGAAGGAATGGAAGGGGAGAGCACAGTGGTCTTATTTACAGATACTGGTTCAATGAAAAGTGGAGTAAAGGTAGACCAGTGCAGCCCATTATGTTTTACGTTTTTAAAATGGTTGTAGTGGTTAAATGTTCCATTTTTGGAGCAGTTTTTTGCACCTGTTTTTGTAAATCATTCGAAGATGCTGAAAAAACCCAAACAAGCCATATGAGACTGTTTTTCGCAATCAGCTTTTGAAATAAACACGTATGCTGTTAATTCAGCAGAAGGAACATTTGAAAATCACTGAGTTGTATGATGAGATAGAAATCAATAGGAATGAGCTTTGGGTTTGGACCAACTTTAATTGACCTGGACTTGTAAAAGTGTTTGGCGTGCCAATTTTGTGTTTACTTTTTTCTTAAAGGGTAGGGGTACCTTTTACTCTTTCACAGTCAGGGGCCACCTTATTTTTAAAGGGGATTCCAGATTCTAAATCTATATACCTCTTACTCATTCCCATGAAGGGGGGGGGGGGGGTGGATATCTGGGTTACTTCTATTTTTAAAGGGGAGTTCCTGATTCAGATGCAAGCAGACACCCACAACCACCAGGCTGGGACATGAGGAGGAGGTCCTTGCCCTTAACAACATGGGGACAAGGTGCTTTGTCAGGGGTATATAATAGCATAGGTCAAACAAGCATGGTCCTTCAATGAATGGGCTCCAGATGGTAGCAAAGAGCTGGTTAAGGCAATGACGAGGATGATGATGCACAATCACCCCCAGAAATATCTTCACAACTCCACCTCAACATGTAGGAAGAAAGGACAGCCTCCCATAGTGAAATACCATTTATTACATTAAAAGCACGAACAGAGTAACACTCACAATGTCTCAGAGTAAACAGATCGCTATGACAGTATGATATTCACCACACTTCTGGTCCTCAAGTCCGTGACTGGAACTAACGTCACTAAGCTCCACCCCACGCGTTACACCACCAACCACGTGACTTCGTCAGGGATGTTTGACTGATTCAGATGCAAGCATACCTCGCAATCACCAGGCTGGAATATATGGAAGAGGTCCTTGCCCTTAACAACATGGGGACCAGGTGCTTTGTCAGGGGTATATAAGAGCATAGGTCAAACAAGCATGGTCCTTCAATGATGGGGGTCCAGATGGTAGCAAAGAGCTGGTTAAGGCAATGACGAGGATGATGATTCACGATCCCCCCAGATATTTCTTCACAACTCCACCTCAACATGTAGGAAGTAAGAACAGCCTCCCATAGTTAGATACCATTTATTACATTAAAAGCACAAACAGAGTAACACTCACAATGTCTCAGAGTAAACAGATTGGTATGACAGTATGATATTCACCACACTTCTGGTCCTCAAGTCCGTGACTGGAACTAACGTCACTAAGCTCCACCCCACGCGTTACACCACCAACCACGTGACTTCGTCAGGGATGTTTGACTGATTCAGATGCAAGCAGACCCCGCAATCACCAGGCTGGGATATGAGGAAGAGGACCTTGCCCTTAACAACATAGGGACCAGGTGCTTTGCCAGGGGTATACCCTCTGGCATGGTGCCCTCTCCACGTTGAGGGCATGTTACTTGGCATGCTTCAGGAGATAAGAATGTTGCCCTCCCCTCCCAGTTTTCCTGGCCCACTAGAATGCATGATGAGAGTCTGGTGTACATTTGGAAGAGCAAATCAATTTTATTTTTTATTCTTGTTTTTTTGTATGGGTTTTCACCTTACAGCCCATACCAGACCCTCACCCAGGATAAGGGTCTGGCATAGATGAAGGGAATCCCCAGTTGCTTTAATTATCGATAGAAGTAATCAACTGGAAGCTGCCATTTAAATGTAAATTACTTTTTTTTGTAAATGCAATGTTTTCTATAGTAGGTTGTTTATGTCGTAAACTATGCACTACAGGCAATTTAAGGGCTCCCCCCAAGCATATTGTTTAAAGGAATTTTGCATTTTTAATGTTGCACTTTAAGTATTATTGAAAGTAATTAACCACTTCCCGTTCGGCCCATGTATATAAACGGCCAGACGGTGGCAGTCCAGGGGCGGGTTGGCGTTCATAAACGGCGCCTGCCATTTTGGACTGTGTGCGCTTCCTGCCTGGAAGCATGCGGCACCACGATCCGGTGCCCGCTGTGTCCTCCAGAACACCGATCACTGTACAGGACATCTGTGTGATTGGCCAATCAGGATCACATGAATAGGTGTAAGCAAGATGTCACTTCTGACATCATTGCTTACTACTTGTGAAATCTGTGAATGATCACAGAGATCACATGGTACAGGGCTATTCACAACAGTCTTGTACCATGTGACAAGCTGTGACCAATCACAACTCACACAGTACTTCTCAATGGCTGCAAGAATGCAGCCAGAGAGAAGGAGAAATTATTGCTTTTCTAACCTTTAAGGGTATAAAAGCAATCAGTGTAAAAAAAAAAAAAATCTTCATCACCCCCCCACAAGTAGTACAGTGTCACTATGGTGACACTGTACTGCTAGGGTGACAGAATGTACAAAAAAAAAAACCATAATAATATAAAAAAAATTAAATAAAAATGTAAAAAACATTTTTGAAAAATTATAATTTTTGGTTATAAACTAATTTGGGTTATTTTATTTTTACTAAAAAGATAACTGAATATATTTTGGCCAAGATTTATGAAAAAAGATTATTTATTTGCAAAATAAAAACACTTTTTTTCAAAATATTTTTACTTTTTCATTTATATAGCAAAAAAAATAAAAATCCCAGTGGTGAATAAAAAAAACACCAATAAAGTTTTATCTGTCTCAAAAAATGCTAAAAAATTCATATGGGTACAGTGTTGCATGACCGCGCAATTGTCATTCAAAGTGCGACAGCTCTGAGAGCTAAAAATTGGTCCGGACAGGAAGTGGTTAAAAGAATTTAACTCCTTCCTGCCACCGCGTCCAGGCCCTTTCTTTTTATCTATCTATCTATCTATCTATCTATCTATCTATCTATCTATCTATCTATCTATCTATCTATCTATCTATCTATCTATCTATCTATCTATATTATCTATCTATCTATCTATCTATCTATCTATCTATCTATCTATCTATCTATCTATCTATCTATCTATCTATCTATCCATCTATCTATCTATCTATCTATCTATCTATCTATCTATCTATCTATCTATCTATCTATCTATCTATCTATCTATCATCCCTTGACAATTGCATGGACCATCACTCGCAAGCAAATTCTTCCATGAATTCTCTTAGCAATTTTACAGGGTAGGTTGCCAGGTCTTTCCCCAACCCCTATGATGCAGGAGATCCTGCATGGCCAGGGATGAAACTAGGACAATTTAGACAGGAGCCAATTAACCTACCAGCATGTCTTTGGAGTGTGGGAGTACATGCAAACTCCATGCAGGAGATGCCATGGTTGGGAATCGAACCCATGACCCAATTACTACACGGCAGAAGTGCTAACCACTAAGACACTGTGCCGCCCCCAGGCCCTTTAAGAGGTTCTAAATGCCAACAGGAAGAGGCGGCCATTCCAATCAAATGACCGCTGTGATTGGCAGTCACACATAATCAGAAAGCTCCTGATCGCAATTATGCATCAAAAGCTTTCTTGGCTCTCGTTGATTTCAGTGGGATTTGGATTGAGACTCAAAACTTCGTCACAGTTATTTGAACCTCCCTTAAGCCCAATTTAGGTACATTTCATCCCTACTGATCACAATGCTTTAGTAGATCTACTGCGTGAAAACTTTATGAAAATATTTTTTTCTGATGTTGCGTCTGTTTGTAATAGTATAAAACAGAAATTGTATTTTTGAAATAACTATTTCAAGTTGTAAATCTTTATTGTATTTACCAAACTTATTTATTTTGCATCTTTTTAATCACCTACAAACAAACTACGTACCAAAACCAACAAAAAGACAGTATGCAGATTCCTCTTTCAGAATGTTTTTTGTGGTAAACTATTTACAATATTAATTTTTTGGGAATTGGAATTCTGTCAATTTTTTTTTAAAAAATGGGGTAGAGTGAAAATGTATGTAAACTATAACAATGAATATTGCTTATTTGCTTCCCTTTGGTCTGGTAGCCTCCCTAGCGGTCTGATTAGGTCCATATTTCTGTGCTCGAAGCGGTAAATTTTTTTGCATGGAAATATGTATTTTTTTTATTGTAGGCCTGTAATTCTTAGGAATAACTCACTGAAATCTGTCCGAACAAGAGTCTAGTAAACATCCCGGGTATGATAAAACTTGAAACACAAAATCATAAATTATAATTTAATAAATAATCATAAAAAATAATAATATAATAATAATACATTTGATTCAATAATATAATCAAACCAAAAACACTGAAATGTGAAATATAGCGCCAAGTTCGCACATCGCTGAGCAAAGTCACAGAATCGTTTTCAGTGTCTGATGAGGAATTTCCCCACGAATCATTATCACTCAATTCTGCAAGTGGTTCTGATTTACTATCGCTGTTCTCTAGCCGGTCTAAAACCGCTTTTGACATAAAGGGACGCTTTTTGGACGCCATGGACGTTTCTCAGTTTCCAGGCAGAAAGAACAGTAAAAATGCAGGCAGGGCGCCGGACAAAGCAGTAGGGACAAAATGTATGTGAAATGGTTTGATACAGGAATGTTATACTATGTGATTTTAGTGAATTTAGTGAATGTCACTTTTTGTCATTTTCAAATTTCACGCCGTTCCATCCCCTGTATGGTCCGACGTCGTAGGGAACAGAACACGGAAGACAGATGCCGGCATCGGCCGGAGGAAATGGCCGGGGACACTGCAGGAGGGACATTGCGGGAGCGCAGGACAAGGTAAGTGAAGAAGAGATCCTGGAGCAACGCTGCAGTGTATTCCCGAGTGTAGCTCGGGGTTAGCGCTTGTGGTGCTGAAACTTTACCCCGAGCTACACTCGGGTAGCCAGGGAGGCTACCTTTTTTTATTGACTTCTGACCTCTTTGCTCTTACTCAAGTCCTTGTGATGTGAGAGGACCCCTGCATCAGGTTTCTTTTTCTACCCTATTTCCTCTAGAACAGGCCTTATCTTCTTTTCTGTTTCTTGTCTCCTCTCTTTCATCATCTCCCTTAGACTTTGTGGGAGGAATGGTGCCCCATTATTGGTGTCAGTGAAAGGAATAGCGCCTCATCATTGGTGTCAGTGGGAGAAATAGTGTCCCATCATTGGTGTCAGTGGCAGGAATAGTGCCCCATTATTGGTGTCAGTGGGAGGAATAGTGCCCCATTATTGGTGTCAGTGGAAATAGTGCCTCATCATTGGTGTCAGTGGGGGGAATAGTGCCCCATCATTGGTGTCAGTGGGAGGAATAGTGCCCCATTATTGGTGTCAGTGGGAGGAATAGTGCCCCATTATTGGTGTCAGTGGGAAGAATAGTGCCCCATCATTGGTGTCAGTGGGAGGAATAGTGCCCCATCATTGGTTTCAGTGGGAGGGACAATTCCCCATTATTGAGGTCAGTGGGAGGAATAATGCCTCATCATTGGTGTCAGTGGGAGGAATAGTGCCCAATTATTTGTGTCATTGGTAGGAATAGCGCCACATCATTGGTGTCAGTGGGGGGGAATAGTGCCCCATCATTGGTGTCAGTAGGAAAAATAGTGCCCCATCATTGGTGCCAGTGGGAGGAATAGTGCCCAATTATTTGTGTCATTGGTAGGAATAGTGCCCCATCATTGGTGTCAGTGGGAGGAATACTGCTCATCATTTGTATCAGTAGGAGGAATAGTGTCCCATCATTGGTGTCAGTGAGAGGAATAATGCCACATCATTGGTATCAGTGGGAGGAATAGTGCCCCATCATTAGTGTCAGTAGAAGGAATAGTGCCACATCATTGGTGTCAGTGGGAGGAATAGTGCCACATCATTGGTATCAGTGGCAGGAATAGTGCCCCATCATTGGTGTCAGTGGGAGGAATATTGCCACATCATTGGTATCAGTGGGAGGAATAGTGCCCCATCATTGGTGTCAGTGGGAGGAATAGTGCCCCATCATTGGTGTCAGTGAGAGGAATAGTGCCCCATCATTGGTGTCAGTGGGAGGAATAGTGCCCCATCATTGGTGTCAGTGGGAGGAATATTGCCACATCTTATCAGTGGGAGGAATAGTGCCCCATCATTGGTGTCCAGTGAGAGGAATAGTGCCACAGGGGCCATTTTCCTTAAAGATCACTCTTCCAATTCACAAGTTGCAGAAGTTTAAAGGGTCACCAGTCAGTAGCAAGTAAGTTGCCCTTAACCCCTTCCTTACAACCATTCCCACACCTCACCTAGAATGGCAGTGGTGTGGATAGCCTTATATTTGCCTTCATGAGCTATCTTCTGACAAGGAGAGGACCATAATAAAGCACCCCTCCAATGGAATACCAGATGGTATACTGGCGTGCCAGTTTTTTTAGCATTAAAAATGAAAATCCTTAAAAAAAAAATGCTTGCTAACTAACAACGGGTGATATCCAAAAAGCACTTTATCTTCTTCAGATCTTCAATCCAAGTCTTGAATTGGCAATTTATTTGGCAAATATCTGTTCCTTAAAGTAGACCTTGCACTCAAGTGCAAGGCCCACTTAACAAATACTAAAATACTAGTCAACACCGTCCCTTCCACCCACCCCTTGTCAAAACATTGAAGTCAACTTTAAAAAGACTGTTAAAAATATATTTACCTTCGGGTGAGATCCTGGAGGCTCTAAGGATACCAAATCTCCTGAGAAGGTGCTTCCAGGATCTTGCCAGAAGGATTGTGACATCATGCCATACTATGCAGAAGTTGGATGTCAGATAAGTAGGGTTTATTATTTTTTATTTGTATGCATTTTTTTTGTGGATATTCTGACTTTTGACCTAAACGGTGGACTGGTATTTAAGTCGACCTCCATGTCATCCAATTTGTTTTCAAAATATCTACAAAAATATTATGTGGATGCTTAATTTTGTTAAGAAATGCAAAAAATATGAACTTGTTAGAAAGAAAGTTATATTTTTGTTACAGTGAATTTTTACACCATGGGAAATGTTCTTTATGAAAACTGAACCATTAAGAGAAATTACAGAGAAAGATTGTGAAAACTAATGAAAAACATACATCTTTTGCACAGGCTATATTCCCACTAGAAAACATAAAAGTATTAACTTTGACAGATTCTGGTCTGTATTATAAAATAACATAAAAGTGGAATTCTCAGTATGTGCATATTTATGACTCATTCTTCAAGTAGGAATGCAAGGACGGGCACCGAAAACATAAATATTGTGATTTTTTTTCTTTTTTTTTTTTTTGTCCAAGCATCATTTTACATGCTGTGAATTCATTATTAGTCTTTATAGCCAATGTTGCTGTCATTTTATCTTCCTCAGAAATTTGCATAGATAAATACAATCTCAATGAGGTTATCCTACAAAACAAAAGGGTACAGTAAAAATTATAAATGATATCACATTGAAAATCTAGGGTCATTGGAACCTACCAGTTTGAAAGCGTTTCCTCAAAAGCATAGAAACATATGCGAAAACGGTGCTATTATATTTACTGAATGTAAATGAACATTTCCATGAGATTCAAAGGTTTTTTTTAACCAGTTCCAACCACTTTCTTTCCAGTCCGGACACTTTCTCCCCCTTTCCAGTCCGGACACTTTCTCCCCCTCCTAGTCCGGACACTTTTCCAGTCCGGACACTTTACCCCCTTCCAGTCCGGACACTTCACTTTCCGGACACTTCTACCCCCTTCCAGTCCGGACACTTTCACCCCCTTCCAGTCCGGACACTTCACCCCCTTTCCGGACACCCCCCCTTCCAGTCCGGACACTTTCACCCCTTCCAGTCCGGACACTTTCCCCCCTTCCAGTCCGGACACTTCTACCCCCTTTCACTTCTACCCCCTTCCAGTCCGGACACTGAACACTTTCACCCCCTTCCAGTCTGGACACTTTCCCCCCCCTTTCTCACCCCCCAGTCTGGACACACTTTCACCCCCTTCCAGTCCGGACAGCCCCCTTCCACCGGACTTTCCCCCCTTCCAGTCCAGACACTTTCCGGACACTTCTACCCCCTTCCAGTCCGGACACTTTCACCCCCTTCCAGTCCGGACACTTTTCCCCCCTTCCAGTCCGGACACTTTTCCCCCCCTTCCAGTCCGGACACTTTTCCCCCCCATTCCAGTCCGGACACTTCTACCCCCTCGGACACCTGCCCAGGCCAATTTTCAGCTTTCGGTACTATCACACAGGCCAATTTTGAATGACAATTGACAATTGCGGTCATGCAACACTGTACCCATATGAATTTTTTAGCATTTTTTTGAGACAGATAAAGCTTTATTTTGGTGGTATTTATTCACCACTGGGATTTTTATTTTTTTTGCTATGTAAATTAAAATGTCCAAAAATTTTGAAAAAAAATGTTTTTCTTATAAAATTTTGCAACTAAATAATATTTCATCATACATCTTGGCCACAATTTATTCCGTTATATTTTTATTAAAAAAAAAACATAACCCAAATTAGTTTATAACCAAAAATTATAATTTTTAAACTTTTTTTTACTTTTTTTATATTATTTATTTATTCATTAATTTTTTTACATACTGTCACCCTAGCAGTACAGTGTCACCATGGTGACACTGTACTACTTGTGGGGGGTGATGAAGTTTTTTTTTTTTACACTGATTGCTTTTACACCCATAAAGGATGTAAAAGCAATCATATCTCCTTCTCTCTGGCTGCATTCTTGCAACCATTGAGAACTACTGAGTGAGCTGCGATTGGTCACAGCTTGTCACATGGTACAAGGCTGTTGTGAATAGCCTTGTACCATGTGACCTCTGTGATCATTCACAGATTTCACACGTAGTAAGCAATGATGTCAGAAGTGACATCTTGCTTAGTACTCTGCATGTGATCACTGATTGGCTAATCAGTGATCACATGATCGGGACCTCGCACAGAGTTCCTGTCAGACGATCGGTGTTCCACTGTGTCCGGAGGACACAGCGAGCACCGGATCGCGGTGCTGCACACTCCCAGGGAACGCGCACAAGCAGAGTGCGGGGAAGCCATTTATAAACAGCCTGCGGCCCCTTTACTGCCACCGTCCAGCCGTTTATATACAACGGCCGGACGGGAAGTGGTTAAGGAAAACAAACATCTTCTACCAATGCATCTGGCTTTGGTTTTATCATCCTACTAGGTAACAGGATATCGTTTAGATTATATTGGCCAACTATAGAACACATTATCGGAATAGTTGGGCTTCAATGAGCGATATCTTCTGTAGACGTCAGTGTGGAAATTTTAATTTAAAATTTAAAGTGGAAGTCCAATGAAATCCTTACTATACTTAAATCTATTCCCACTCCCATTCTAAGCCTATCCCAACTACACTGTAAAGGAAAAATGTCGCTCCGGTATGGTCACATGATCAGCTGCCCCATAGTAAGCCTATGGGTGAGTCACCGCTTAGGCTCTGCAGCCATTGTTGGTGATCTCTCCTCTTTACTGAAACCGGCCACTGGAGAGATCATGTGACTGTACTAGAGTGTTCCCAGCATAGGTAAGTATTTATATCTTTCCTCTACAGGGTAGTTAGAAAGGCTTAGAATGGGGGGTGGGCGACAATTTAAGTATAGTTAGGATTTGATAGGACATCTGGTAGAACTTTTATTAACTGCTTTAAAAAAGTCCTGGATTCTTTCTTGGATACACAGAATATAACTGGATATAACATTTATAGGTAACGTTGATCCAGGGAATATCCGATTACCTCTCGGGGGATCAGGAAGGAATTTTGTTCCTTGCAGGAGCAAATTTGCTCATGCTTTGCTGCTTTTTTTTTTTGCCTTCCTCTGGATCAACTGTGGGTGTAGGATTATAACTTTTTTTTTCTATGGTTGAACTGGATTTTTTTTTTCTTTTTTCAGCCAGACTGACTATGTAATTATGTAACCACTTGCCCTCCAGAAGATTTAACCCCCCTCCCATCCTGACCAGGCCATTTTTTTCAATATGGCGCTACATTACTCTGACAACTGTGTGGTTATACAACACTGTACATTAAATTTATATAATTTTTTTCCCACAAATAAAAATTTCTTTTGGTTGTATTTGATCACCTTTGCATTTTTTACTTTTTGCTCTATAAACAAAAAAAGACTGACAATTTTGAAAAAAAAAAAACAAACAATATATTTGACTTTTTGCTATAAAACATATCCAATAAAAAAAATGAAAAAAAAAAAAACAGTTTGTCATAAATTTAAGCAAAATGTATTCCGCTCCATGTCTTTGCTAAAAAAAATCCCTATAGGTGTATATTAATTGGTTTACGTGAAAGGTATAGTGTCTATGAATGGCGGTATATAAACTGGAATTTATATTTTATTTTTTTACACTAGTAATGGCGGAAACCAGTGACTTATAGCGGGACTGCGGCGGGCATTCTGACACTGGGAGGGGGGGACTGACTAACTGCTACTTACATCCCCACTGACACTGTACTAATGACACTGGGCCAGTGGCGTATTTAGGTTTTGTGCTTCCCTAAGCAACACAAACCCCCCCCTTCCCTGCAGAGAGAGCCTGACATTGACCAACAACACCCCTGCCCCCTCCCCCAAGAGAGGCTTCCACTACCACCTCCTCCCATAAACCGGCAAACCACCCCCCCCTCACAAACCCCGGTGCTAGAGAGAGAGAGACACTCACCTTTGCAGGTCTGCACATCCCTGGGAATGAGATTCAGGCTCGGCATACACTGAAAAGCAGCCTGCAGACTCTCTTGGATCCCACCTGCTCCCCATGCCACATGTGTCCCTTCTTCCGTCCCTTCTTCTGGGTGGCAGTGCTGCCCCCTGAAAAATGCCGCCCTAGGCAAATGCCTCGTTCGCCTTGCGGTAAATATGCCGCTGCACTGGGCAGGAAGGAGTTAACATCTGGGGTGATCAAAGGGTTAACTGTGTGTTAGGGAGTGATTAGGATGAGTACTGTGTTGTGTTTTACTAAGCAGACCTGCTACTTTCTATCTCCCTGCTGTACAGAGAAATAGACAGCAGCATATCCAGATCAAAAATCACTGGCCGGGACCCAGTGATTGACATCCTCAGGAGCCAATAGCAGCTTGGGTAGGGCGGCGCGCGTGCGTGTGCCCCTTACCCGGAAATGGAAATTCACATATATTTATGTGATTATTCCCAGTGAAGCTGCCCTGTAGCAGTACATCTGCTAAGGGGCGGCAGGTAAGTGGTTAAAAAAAAAGATTTGAAAAAGGGACAATATTCCTCAAAAAATTTATGGAATTAAAAATGAATATATGTTTTTAGCTAGTGGTAGTTAATAATATGCAACTGGTCTTGTTCTGTGATGTTGAATATTCTTAATCACCCATTCAACTGACGTTTAATCGAGTATTAGAAACATACCCCTGCATAGTCACATGGATAACTAAGTCTCTATAAATCCAATTGGAACTGAGTCAAGACAGATGTCTATGACCCGAAACTGGAGGAAGTAAACATTTGTTAATATACAGTTCCAATTTATATAATCTAATCATGAAATATGGGAGTTAATTATCACATCAATGTCTAGACCAGGGGTGTCAAACTGGCAGCCCTCCAGCTGTTGCGGAACTACGCATCCCATGAGGCATTGCAAGGTTGACAGTTACAAGCATGACTCCCACAGCTGGAGGGCCACCAGTTTGACACTCCTGGTCTAGACCATGACTTAAAGAGTTTGCTCTTGCATTTTTTGAGCTGTGCCTCCCCAATGTACATGATATACCAGGTTATTTGGTAAAAATACCCTTTATGTACTCCTTAGAGGTAGGTAGTGGACCCAACACCAGAAAATATGCCCCAATTACCAAGATTTCTTAAAAGTTTTGAGCGTTAACATTCTGAAATTGGACAGTTGAGTGTGGATCCTTGCGTCTTTAAGCATCATTGCCTCATGTATATGTTCTACCATTTGGGGGGTTACCTGTATGCGTGTACTTGTGACTAGCACATGGATACAAGAGGGTACAATTGATATGTTTGTTGAAGTGACTGCTAGACACCTCAGGTGGGCTAGGTTTTGACACTTTTGAAGACACAGACACTGCAAGTGGCCTTGGATTATCTCTGGATCTCTATGACCCAGGGGTGGACTGACAACTTATGGGGCCCCCGGGCAAAAGGGGATCATGGGGCCCCTGTGTCCTTGCCCAAACTCAAAAAAGCCTATGGTAAAGGTACCAGGGGCATCTCATGGGGCCCCCTACTGACCCCAGGCCATCGGGCAGTGCCAGAGTTCCCCAATGGTCAGTCTGCCCCTGCTATGACCCCTAAACTTATGGGAAAAGCATTCAGCTGCACATCCCCTCCCGAAAATAGAACTTTATATACTATCTGAAAGGTTCTACAATGGACTGTGTGTACAATCTAGGGCAAGCTTGCAGAGTTATTGTTCTCTCTTTGGACATTTGTCTTATCCTCTTGTTTCTATAAACAGAAGATATCCACACACACAAAGACTTTGCCCTTAATATCTCTATAATACCAGATTTCTCCTAACATGGCACAGTGGAAGTGAAGACTTTCTTGATCAGTCTAGATTTGAAAATTTTCATACACTTTTCTGAATGTATATTCTCCACCCCCACTGAGACATTTGTATGTTTCTGTATGCTTAAACGTTATCAAATGATGGCAGCTATATGAAGTGAAGACTATTTTTACAGGAAAGATTAGAGGAACTGAATTTATTCTCTCTTGAGAAGAGGAGATTATGGGGGGATATGATCTCCATGTATAATACATAAGGGGGGATATGATCACCATGTATAATACATAAGGGGGGATATGATTTCCATGTATAATACATAAGGGGGGATATGATCACCATGTATAAATACATAAGGGGGGGATATGATCTCCATGTATAATACATAAGGGGGGGTATGATCTCCATGTATAATACATAAGGGGGATATGATCTCCATGTATAATACATAAGGGGGGATATGATCTCCATGTATAATACATAAGGGGGATATGATCTCCATGTATAATACATAAGGGGGGATATGATCTCCATGTATAATACATAAGGGGGGATATGATCACCATGTATAATACATAAGGGGGGATATGATCACCATGTATAATACATAAGGGGGCATATGATAACCATGTATAATACATAAGGGGGAATACGATCTCCATGTATAATACATAAGGGGGATATGATCACCATGTATAATATATAAGGGGGGGATATGATCTCCATATATAATACATAAGGGGGGATATGATCTCCATGTATAATACCTAAGGGGGGATATGATCACCATGTATAATACATAAGGGGGGATATGATCTCCATGTATAATACATAAGGGGGGATATGATCACCATGTATAATACATAAGGGGGATATGATCTCCATGTATAATACCTAAGGGGGGATATGATCACCATGTATAATACATAAGGGGGGATATGATCTCCATGTATAATACATAAGGGGGGATATGATCTCCATGTATAATACATAAGGGGGGATATGATCACCATGTATAATACATAAGGGGGGATATGATCTCCATGTATAATACATAAGGGGGATATGATCTCCATGTATAATACATAAGGGGGATATGATCTCCATGTATAATACATAAGGGGGGATATGATCTCCATGTATAATACATAAGGGGGGATATGATCTCCATGTATAATACCTAAGGGGGGATATGATCACCATGTATAATACATAAGGGGGGATATGATCTCCATGTATAATACATAAGGGGGGATATGATCACCATGTATAATACATAAGGGGGGATATGATCACCATGTATAATACAT